CAGAAAAATTTTATTTATATAGTTTTTTTATTTGATGTCACCATTTTTAGCTGTGTATATTAATGCTTCTTGACTAATACCTAAAATCTGAAGTCCTTGATTCAGTTTCCCAAGAGATTAAACCTCTTGTTTAGTTGTTTAGCTTCTTCTGGTAAGGGAATTATAGTATAGTTATAGTTATGGTTACATAGTATAGTACAGCAATCTAAACTCTGCCCCTCACTATATCCTTGTTTTTCATCTTAGAACCCCAACTCTCCTTCTCTTATGATTCTTGAGGTTTTCTTTGGCTCTCAAGCTTCTTTCTTGTCTCTTGTCTCTGCAGGCCTATATATTTGCTGGTCATTTCTCCATTTACTTTCCTCCTTCACTGACATTTCCAAACACATTGCCACTTCTCATCTACATATGTGATCTTATCTCATTTTTTCATACCTTTATAAAAACCAAAATAAAACTAGAAAACAAACTAAAAGGTCTTCTCTTTGATCATATGAGTAGACTTTGTAGAGGGTACATTGGTAATACAACCTTTTTTTTTTTTTTTTTTGGTCAGTTGTGGGGCTTGAACTCTGGGCTTGGGCGCTGTCCCTCAGCTCTTCAGCTCAAGGCAAGCGCTCTACCGCTTGAGCTATAGCACCACTTCCAGTTTTCTAGTGGTTTATTGGGGATAAGAGTCTCATAGACTTTTCTGCCAGGCTGGCTTTGAATCATGATCCTTAGATCTCAGCCTCCTGAGTAGCCAGAAACCATCAGCGCCCCGCCAATTTTTTTTTTTTTTGAGACAAGGTCTCACTATGTACCTCAGGATGACCTTCAAGTAGAGATCCTCTTGCTTCAGTTTTTCCAGTGTTCAGATTACAGATATGAGCTAGAATGCTTGGCTAAATGCACATACTTGATTTATTATATTCATCAGGAGTTCCTTCCATATGTTTCAATTAAATGACATTTCAGGAAGACACATATCTAAAATTGACTATTGACAGTCAACATTTTTGGGGTAACACATCTAATATTTAGGGAGAAACATTTAAAGATGATCATTTTATTTCCCAGTAGTTTTTTTTTAAATAAAACTATTGGCCCAGCCCAGTGATTTTGACTCTTTGGAATTATTTACTTGGATTTACTTGTAACAATATGTTTGAAATGTGTCTAGTGCAAAAATTGGCAGAGGGATGAGTGTGTTTGCAAGAGAAACTGATGGAAGAGAAGAACGATTCAAAGAGGGAGCAAAATGTTAGCTTTTGGTTGTAGAGAGTGGTGTTTCAGATTGTAACAATATATATATTAGTATCATCAATAATTTTTAATGAGTATCTAAACTTGATTTTTTTTGGCTTTCTGAACTCACAGACCATTCATGTTCTATTAGTGTCTTAAAAATGCTGCTCCATTTACACTGTGTCCTTTGAATTAAAGTGTTTCTGATTCTTGGGGCTAAGCTATCTGTAGATCTTATTATTTTGGTTGGTTTCAGAAGCCTCATAGGAGCCAGATCCTAAACAATAACTAGTATACTTTTTTTAATGTTTTCCCCTGGAGGAAATTTTAATACATAATTCTTAACCATCATATCCTATTGTAGTAAAACTGACCTCCCCCTCACCACTTTTCACCAGTTTTCACCTTTCTACTAGATTTATGACTGCTATTACCAATACCATGAATTATCTTAGTGTTGTATAACACTGCTAGGATGCTGACTCTACTGCTTTGGGAAAAAGAAAAGATAATGTGGGAGTTTTAAAATTTCTCGATCATAGAAGATACTGAAGCATCAGTCAAGATGCTAGGCAAGATTTTTGTGTGGTCATTTAAAATCATTTACATTTTCTGAGTCTGCATTTGTAAAATGATTAACACTCAGTTGTCTTAAGAATCTCACAATAAGGGAGCCTGAAGGAATGAATGTAAGCTAACTTAAGTATAGAGATCAAACTACTTATCTTTGTTTTTTCTTTCTTAAACTTGTAAGAGTTACTCAGAAAATGTTGACTAAAATAATTTGAAAGAAAAGTACAATGTTGGGCAAAGGAAATTCCATGAAATCCTTATAAGAATTTTATATTAACTTAATAAATTTAATTCAATTCTAAAGATGTGGGAATGCATGTTCAGCATAAAGTGGATTATTAAACTGATTATAGTGGTTAGACAATTAAAGGGTATGTGTGTGTGTATATTATATATATATATATATATACACACAGTGTGTGTGTGTGTGTGTGTGTGTGTAGACTGGTATTGGGGCTTGAACTCAGGGCCTGTGTGCTGTCCCTGAGCTTCTTTGTTCAAGTCTAGTAATCTATTTAAGCCACAACTCCTCTTCTGGCTTTTTATTTGGTGCTTAATTGGAGATAAGATTCTTGTGGGCTTTTCTGACTAGGCTGGCTCCGAACTGTGATCCTCAGATTTTAGTCTCTTGAATAGCTAGGATTACAGGCATGAGCCACCAGCTAAAGGCATGTATTTTTAATGGGCAAATATAGGCTATTGTCAGCCTGTGATTCCAGTGTAACCTTTGAATTACCTTCTCTCTCATTGGCAGTTTTAAGAGCTTAGCCACTTTCCACATGTCTGCAAGTGACTCTGCATTAGATGTGAGGAAGATGTGGCTGACTTTTAACTGTGGCTGGCAGAAAGTGAAAAGCAGTAGAGATTGTCACTACATGGGTGTGACACTAGAAAGAGTTCTAGAGCAGTATACTATCTTCCCTATTGTTGGGTTTTTGCAGAATGTTCTCACTTCCTTGGTCTCTCTAGAAGTCTGTAAGAAGAAATGGAAGAAAGGGGCAGCATTATATGATAGCATTATTGGTAGTAAGATGGGGTGGAAATTATGATTTGTGTGTTGTAATAATGAGAATGACAGTTTGCTTTTTCCTTTTTTTACTTTGCAAGGAGCCACTTCTTTCTGGACCTTTGTTTTGGTCTTAAATCACTGCTGAGGTATTTACAAACCAAGCCAGCACTTACATTTATTCACCAAAAGGAGAACAAAGCATGTGCTAATAGAAGCAGTCTAATAACTAGTGGAAAAAGCACCGAACTCAAAGAACTTGCCTTTAATGCATTGCTCATTACTTCTGTCACTGACCAGTATTTCAACCTTTCTGAGTCTCTCTTTCCTCATCTGCAAAATGGGGTTAATGAAGGATTTCATCTGGAAAGTGGGGATGATAGAGATTAAGAGAGATGACGTGGGTACACCATTCCCCAAATAAACATGAGTTGAATCTTAACAATAATATTATGACTGTGTGGTTGCAACCCAAACTTTTCTCCCTTTGCTGGCAGAAATGTCTGGGAGATTTCACATTCTTGTTCAGACTGTCTGCTCTTCGGTAGGGCTCCAGCAACGCTGCTGCTTGTAACTCGAGGCTGCATGCTTGCAATTTGTGCTAGTCTTCCTTTCTCAAGGGTTCAAATTAGAAGCCTGTGTTGAGAAAGGCACAAAAGTACAAAGCAAAAATCTCTGCAGTGTATGCCACCAAATCTTGGAAAGTCATCCCAAGGAAGAAAGATTGCCACCGAGGAGAGAAAACGGCTCCGGGCAGCATTTCTGATGTGCAGAAATAATAATAATAAAGCCCCGATGTTGCCATTTTTTTCCCCCTTTTCTTTTTCGAGCCAGAATATGGTCCCAGATGGAGGAGGAAACCCTGACAAGCTGGGAAGGAGATGCGTGGGGTTCGGAGGCAGCGTTGGGAAGGGGCGGCGCGCGCGCGCGCGGGGCGCAGAGCCTCGCAGTTCTTTGTTGGGGGGCGGGGAGAGCGCCCACTTTCCACGGGAGACATGGCTCCTCCCGGGGGACGACCCGCCCCAAAAGGGCTCCCGACCCTTCGCAGCCCCCCCAACCCCCCGTCCCGCCTTCCCCCACCCCCCCCCCCCCGTCCCGGCGGACCCGCAGCGGGGGCGGACTGCGGGGCCTTTAAGACTTTGGCTCGCAGCACAGGCTCAGCTCTTTGTGTGTAGTTAGGAGTTTTTCCGTTTTAAGAAAAAAGAAGAAGGAGGAGGAGGAGGAGGAGAGAAGCTGGAGGAGGACGGGGTGGAGGAAAGGGGAAGCGCCGGGGGAAAGCGCTGCACTTCAGCTGCAGCCGAGGGACGGAGCCGGCTGCTCGGCCGCCGAAGCCGCAAAGCCGGTCCCCACCGGGGGACTCCGGGGTGGGCCCCCTCCCCGCCCGCGGCGGGAAGGGCACGGCGGGCGCGCGGGCCACACCTGGGGGCCGGCCTCCCCTCCGCTCCCGGGCCGCGGGGGGTGGGCGCGCGCAGGGGATGGGGGGGGGGAGAGTCCCAGGTCCCTGTCAGGGGCGGGGCGAGACCACAACGCCGGGCCGTGGGAGGGGGGACGTGGATACTCGCGGGGACGTGGAGGCAGCCCCAGGCCCGGTGGATTCCAGTCTCGGCTCACGCGTCGGGTAACGGTTTGAGGAGAAAAATGGCAGGCGGAAGGTCGCTGGTGGCCGCGCGTCGGGCGCGAGGCTGACCGCCCCTTATTCATCCCCCCCCCCCTCCTCCCGCATTGGACGCGCCCACCTCGGCGCTCCCGCTCGGCCCCGCCCTCCTGGGCGCGCGGCGCTCGCTCGGAAGCCCAGGCAGTTGGCGCGGGCCGCGGGCGAGGCGGGGCGGCGCGGGGTCCCCTCCCGCTCCCCGTCAGCTCCCCGCCCCGTCAGGTTCGCTCCGGAGCGCCGGGCGCGGGCTGCTCCGTCCGCCCGGGTCTCCGCTGCTGCTCCGGCCGCCGCGGCTGTGGGGTTGGCCCGCTGAGGACAAGGTCAAGAGATTGGGCGGCGATGCCCGAGTGCGACCGGAGGCAGCCGAGCGGAGGCGGCCGCGGTCGGGCTCTGTCTCACCGGACCGGGGAGCGGGACCCGGGCCGGCGCTGGTGAGGAGCCGCGGCGGCGGCGGCGAAGGTTGACTCCGGCCGGAGTTCCCCTGCGGAGCATCCCTGTGGGCGCCCGCGAGCGCAGCCCCGCCGGGCCCGGGCGGCGGGGACCATGGAGCCGGGGGTTCCGGCCCGCACCGGGATCCCGAAGCCGGCCGCCCCCGGGCTGTGGAGGACTCGGCCGGCGGGCGGCGGCGGCGGCGGCGGCGGCGCCTCCTCCTGGCTGCCGGACGGGAACAGCTGGCTGCTGTGCTATGGCTTCCTCTACCTGGCGCTCTACGCGCAGGTGTCCCAGTCCAAGCCCTGCGAGAGGACCGGCTCCTGCTTTTCGGGCCGCTGTGTCAACTCCACCTGCCTCTGCGACCCGGGCTGGGTGGGGGACCAGTGCCAGCACTGCCAGGGCAGGTTCAAGTAAGTGCCTCCGCCGGACCCCGAACCTCCGTCTTGTCCCGCTCCGGGTCTCCGCTTCTCCCTCGCCGCCCCCCCTCCCCACCCCGCCTCCGGGGCCTGGGATCCCGGGGGGTTGGGTGGGTGGGGAGGGGGGCGGGCGGCCCGGGCGAACCCTAGCGCTCGGACGGAGCCGGAGGGAGCTGTCCACCGATCTGATGCACCCGCTCCAGCCCTCGGCGTCCCGGGCCACTGGAGCCCGCGCCCAGCACCCGCCAGTGTGGAGCGAGCGAAGCGTTTTCTGGAGCGTCGCTCATGCCCGCAGCGACCTCGCATCCCCCCCCCGCCCCCACACACACCCCGAGAGAACATTTCACACTCCGTGATGGTGCCAACATCACTAGTGTCTGTATCTCTACGTATCTATTAAAAGCGATCAGAGATGGTGCTGTAACTCGTGCAATACTTGCTCATTATGAAAATTCAAACAAAAGTGAAGTTGTGGCCCGCAGCAGCGTCTCCCCCCCCCCCCCCCTCCAGCGGTGTGACCCCCTGGTAACAGTTTATCTAGTAATCCGAGATCCTAACTAGAAGTGTTGACGATGCGTTTACGGGGTGCCAAATACTGTTGTAAGCCCCGTAGGTTGACTGTCTCATTTGCTCATCACGAGGGTTTACCAGAATTCCTGAACTGCATTTGCAGGGAGAAATCGAGGCTTGAAGTAACTTGCTCAAGGTTACACAGTAACGCTGAGTCGTCATTACAAATCTGACATGTTTATTCCAGAATGGACACTTTTACTTTCAACGACCTGCTTCGCTGAATTTGCTGAAACAGTCTTGAGAAGTATAGGGGTGACTTTTGATGTGTGTAGTGGAGACGATGGATTTCTCTAATCGGTTAGCTATCAGTTATTTTGTAGTAACTTCACCTTTTTTTTTTTTTTTTTTTTTTCTGAAGCACTGGGCACTAAGGAGTTTGTTTTACAGAGGTAAAAAAAAAATACTTCCTTTCTCCCTATTGGTTGGTGTTTGTTATAGTCTTTCCTGTTACAGAAAGAAATGAGTGGGTGCTGGGGAGTAACAGATAAATTAGGGGTAAGTAGGGTAGCAGTCTGACAATTTGCAGGTAACACTCATTAAGAAAGCCAGCCTTTATCCCCCTAAGTCCTTAATATGAAGTTTGCTGGTGAGTTTGTACCAAGGAAATTACAATATGTAGACTGCTAATATTTGTTGTCAATATGATATGTTGTCAATATGTTGTCAATAGGATCCGAAGCAAAGATAAACATGGTTCATTTGTTTGATAGGATAATTTCTATGGAGTTTTAGCCTGCCTGCTTGCTTGCTTGCTTGCTTTTCTTTCCTTTCTTTCTTTCTTTCTTTCTTTCTTTCTTTCTTTCTTTCTTTCTTTCTTTCTTTCTTTCTTTCTTTCTTCCTCTTTCTTTCTTCTCTTTCTCTCTTTCTCTTTCTCTCTTTCTTTCTTTCTCTTTCTTTTCTTTTCCTCCCTCCCTCCCTCTTTCCTCCTTCCTTCCCCTCCCTTCCTTCTTTCCTTCCCCTCCCTCCCTTCCTCTCTCTCTCCTTTCCTTCCCTCCTTCCCTGTCTTTTTTCTACTTTTGTATTGTTGCTAGTTAAAACAATGCTCCATAAAACTCTAAGTAAAAATGTATGTATTAAAAATTACATGTTTACTTTTTAAATAGATTTTTAATGGTTTATTTGGTTTGTGGAAGTGAAATCTCAAAGTTTTAGGAACTTAATTTGTAGTAACAGTTGCAGTGTTTCCAGGGTCCATACTTGTATGAGCTAGTATTGTATCATAGATTTCAAAATACATTTCATACATTGTGAGAACTGCTAATTAAAAGTTTAAAAAGGGCCTTAAAATGGGAACATATATTCTATTGAGTTGTGCCTTGTTACTAGTCTTATTTACTTAGATATTCTTAAATTCTATAGACAAGACAATAGCAGCCAACCCTCTTATCTAGCAAGATATAATTTTGAGTTAACTGAGAGCCATAATCAAAAGGAATTATTAATTTTTACATCTTTTTGTACATAAGTATTTGTTTGATCCATTTGTAATTGGGGATATTGGCTTTTGTGTGAACAAATTTATCCCATTTGTCTGAAAAAGACAAAATTGTTGCAGTCCTTTAAGTACATACAATGTCTACATTTTATAGTAGGGGAACTTGTTATTCAGCAGGATCAGCAGCTTGTGACCTTACTAGCAGATGTCCCACTTAGTAAGAGAGGTCACATATCAAGTTAAAAGTAGTGTAAATAACATTGAGAGATGGTGTTCATAAAATATTGAGTAAAAAGCAGAATAGATTTTTTAAAAAATGTAGATATAGTTAAGTAACAATAACCTTGAGCTAATTATTAGTGTTCATCATTTCTTTGGAAGCTGTTATTTCCTATGATTTATTGTACCCTTGACAAATGTTATTTCATTTCTCTGTGGAATACAACCTATTAATTAGAGTAAACATAACTATACTACTGTGTTTTCTAATGTATACTCTTAGGGGTAAAGAAATTCAGGCATTTAATTTTAAAGAGAAGAATGCTTTAAAGAGAAGAATTTTTCCAAGTAAAGTACATGGTACATTGTGAAAAGTGTATTTGAAGATGTACTAACACAGTGGGAAAGAACTAAAAATTCTCACTTCATTTTTTTCCAGTGAACTAAATGATAGATGGCAATCTTACAAATAGACATAAAAATGATTAATCATTCTAGCTAAGCAGGTGTCAAAATTAATTGGTTGGTTCCATACTTTTTTCTACTATAGGAGGTTCATTAGGGAATAAAAGTTTTCAAACGCTTCTTTACAATGGAAGTTTAATAGTTGGGGGAAAATGCAGAAGCAAATATAGTGTCAACAATGATATTTCAGTTATTTTAGCACAGATCCCAGTCTTCTGTCTCTACTTGAATAAAACATTTAAAATGAGAAGTTCTTCCTTACATAAATAAAAAAATGACAATGATCTTTAGCTAAAGCTAGACTAAAGGAGCAACTCGAGTAAGGTAGTACATTGCTTGGTTTGTATTTTTATCAATTTATTTGTGGTGCTTAAACTTAGATGTGTCTTGCTTCATGTGGCTTTGAGACTTATGATTTCTCTTATAATTAGTGCTCTGAAGCTGAAAATATCTCATATTGTGAATCATTTATAAATATACAATTATTATTGTGCATTCATTGACTTTTTTCCTAAAATCACCTATTAAATCTTATTATATGTATATATAAAAATATATTTTTTAAACTTTAGATTATCCAAATTTAGGACACTGAATTTTACAATATTTATAATGCAATGGGCACTTCTTTCTTTCTTCTTTTTTTGTGCCTGAGGATTGAACTCATGATCTCACATTCTTGCTTAGATTTTTTTCTCAAGGCTGGCACTATACCACTTGAGCCACACTTCAACTTCTGGCTTTTTTCCTAGGTTTTTTTTTCTCAGTTTTGTTTATCTGAGCTGGTCCTGAATTGTGGACTTCTCTGTCTCTGATCCATGATCCTCAGATCTCAGCCTCCTGAATACCTAGGATTATAGGTGTGAACCACTGGCACCAGATTGGACTATTCTGTTTCCAAAAGCTGCATAATGAATATAGAATGTCAGGTGTTAGGTTGTTATGATAAACAATTGAGGTAAGATTAACTTCTACCTCCTGATAAAAGTTCATCTCTGGTTATAAAAGTTGTTTGATGAGTTCAACTTCTGGGTTTGTAGGATTAAGTTGTTTACATTTTCCTTGCTGTCTGTATTTTGGATTTATTCTCAATGTTGTAAATAATATATTGTGTTGATTCTGGATTAGTCTGAGGCATGGCTCATAGTAGAGCAACTACCTAGTAAGTACACAGCCCTGAGTTCAAACTGTAGTACTACTGAAAAAGAAAAATATGAATAAATAAATCACAAAAATATATTTAATAGGCAACTAAGCTAGAGCGAGGTTTGGGTAGCAAGTTTTTTTTTCTTCTTGCTTTCTGTGACTTCTGGTTCTCATCTGTTTCAGTACCTTTGGATCTGAATATAAGGTATCACTGTGGGATTAATGTGAGAATTGAGCAGTGTTTAAGTGTTAGATCAGTTCTCAAAGCTTTTATTAAGCTGCTTTGAATCTGTTTCACATGAGCAGCTCATATTTAGTCTGGGGTCTTCTGTGGATTCATACACAAAATAGAGCGTCTTCTTCAGCTCCCTTCATGTGGATTCCCCTTACACTCTGGCTTGCAGAGCACCTTTTCTCATTTATTCTGGGTGAGGGCAGAGTTGCTGTTAGAGCTTACCTCGCATCATGTGCTGCTGCTGCTCTCCCAGGTCTTGTTATCCTTCCATCTCTGGCGATTTTTTAAATAAATTTCTTAGTTTTTCCTTAGCTTCCTGAGTAGCTAGGATAATAGGATGAACAATAATACTATTTTTTACTTTTCTTTCAAGTTTAGGATCATGATATATACAGTATTTTAATGAATAGATTTTTATTTATATATCAGACCAGTAATTGAGTTAATGTTACAAAATTTTTTTACTGTTGGATTTGAAGACAGCTACTCTAGCAGACTGAGTCATTTGAAGCTTTTATTAGAACCATCAGGTAAACAGAGAATGAAGACTTGGGAATAGCAGATATAGATTGCATTGTGAAGGGAACAAGAAGAAATGCATGCTTTGCACAGAATGATACAATAATATATCAGTGTGCCCAGGGGAGGGAAAAAGAGGTAGGTCTTCTTAAGGTTGAAGACTTTTCATCTAAGATCATGAATAAGACAAAATGCCCTGTTTCATCCCGTGTACTCAATGTAGTACTAGAAGTTCTAGCTAGACTAGTCAGGCAACCAAATAGGAAAAACAAGAAAAAACAAGGAATGAAATTGTCTGCTGATAACATGATTTTACAGTAGAAAACTTTAAAGACATCATCAAAAAACTTAAGAACTGATGAATGTATTCAGTAAAGTTTCAGGTTACAAAATGAATATATA